GCTCCCCTCTATGAGTTCAGGAGGGGCATGGCGCCAGGGTTCATCACAATTCTGGGAAGCCCCCTATTTTGAGACTGGTCTTTGAAAAGCATTTCATGCTTTTGCAACAGAAAGCCCTTCATAAATGGGTTGTACTCTGACCGATATTAAAATAACCTTGTCTTTGAGCATACATAAGACCAGGGGTGCTAGCTAGGGAAGGCAGCTGAGCAGTGACTGCCTGGGTCCCTACTCCCCAGTGTCACATCCTGTTGAGGAAAATATTCAACAAATATTTCTTGTCTGCTGTGTGCCAGGCTCTGTGCTGGACTCTGGAGATGTCATGATGAGTAAAAAAATCAGATGTTGCTCCTGACCTGCTGGAGTTGGTTTACAGGCTAGCAGAGGAGATGGCATTAAATAATCACGTTCTGGCCAGGAGCTGCGTGATGCAAGTCTTTAGTCCCAGCTACTCAGGAAGCTGAGCCGGGAGGACCCCTTAAGCCCAGGAGTCTGGGGCTGCAGTGAGCTATGATTGCGCCACTGCACTCTAGCCTGAAAGGGCAAGACCCGGTCTCTAAAAAAAAATTGAAACAAAAATTAAATCACATTGAGAACACTGTTTAGGTAAATGATGTGACAATTATAAATGAAATTTAGGGGTTCAGGGAAGGCATCCCTGAGGAAATGATATTTAAGCTAGAAGCAAGAGAATAAGAGTTGGGGGGATGAGAGGGGGAATTCTAGAGTGGGCTACCTGAATTGAGCTCCCCTACCTGAACTGCTGAAGGGAAAGGCTGCCAGGAGCACGTGGAACAAAATTGGCCTGTGTGGACTACATTAAGGAATGCAAATTATGTCCTATGATCAGAAGGAAGCCATTCTGCCAGTGCGGTGGCTCACGCCTGTAATCCTAGCACTCTGGGAGGCTGAGGTGAAAGGATTGTTTGAGCTCAGGAGTTCGAGACCAGCCTGAGCAAGAGCGAGACCCCATCTGTACTAAAAATATTAACAAATTAATTGGCCAACTAAAAATATATAGAAAAAATTAGCCGGGCATGGTGGCACATGCCTGTAGTCCCAGCTACTCGGGAGGCTGAGGCAGGAGGATCCCTTGAGCCCAGGAGTTTGAGGTTGCTGTGAGCTAGGCTGATGCCATGGCACTCTAGCCCAGGCAACAGAGACTCTGTCTCAAAAAAAAGGAAGCCATTCAAGGGTTTTAAGCAAGGGAATGCCATGATCAAGTGTATGGAAATATCACCCTGGTTGTTCTGTAATGAACGTATCAGGGAAGGTGGATGACTAGGAAGGTTGCTGCGGTGGTCCACAGGAGAGATGTTGGTTGCTTGGGTGGTGGTGGTGGGAAAGGCATAAAAATGTGTAACAGATTGGGCACGATGGCTCACTCCTGTAATCCCAACACTTTGGGAGGCTGAAGCAGGAGGATAGCTTGAGGCCAGGAGTTCTAGACGAGCCTGGGCAACATAGTAAAACCCTGTCCCTACCAAAAAAAAAAAAAAAAGAAAATCAGCCAGGCATGGTGACAAGCACCTATAGTCCTAGCTACTTGGGAGGCTGAGGCAGGAGAGTCACCTGAGCCCAGGAGTTCCAGGCCTGCAGTGAGCTATGATCACAATACTGCACTCCAGCTTGGGTGACAAAGACTGTGTCTCAAAAAACAAAGGAACAAAAAATATGTAACAATATTTTGGAGGCAGAGCTGAAAAAATGCTTAACTGGACATGGGGGAAGAGGGAAATCTATCAACTGGCAGCCAACTGGAACATTAAAGGCAGTAATTGAAGCTAATATATATATATATATATATATTACGAGACAGAGTCTCACTTTGTTGCCCAGGCTAGAGTGCCGTGGTGTCAGCCTAGCTCACAGCAACCTCAAATTCCTGGGCTCAAGCAATCCTCCTGCCTCAGCCTCCCAAGTAGCTGGGACTACATGCGCCACCATGTCTGGCTAATTTTTTCTATGTATATATTAGTTGGCCAATTAATTTCTTTCTACTTATAGTAGAGACAGGGTCTCGCTCTTGCTCAGGCTGGTTTCGAACTCCTGACCTCGAGCAATCCACCTGCCTTGGCCTCCCAGAGTGCTAGGATTACAGGCGTGAGCCACCATGCCTGGCCTCGAAACTAATATTTGCCAGAGCCAGTATAACTGTTTACTATACAAGGGTACTCAGCTAAGGAGGCAAAGAGGGGCTCCAAAACACACTCTTGCCTGATTTGTGATGTTGTGAGTCTGGCCACTTACCTTCAGAAAGCCAGCAGGGAATGTAAGACTCACAAGGGCAGAGTCTATTCCAGAGGAGCTACCACACTGAGGACTGCTGTAATCTGATCCAAATTCCCAGTTGCTGAAGCTAAACAGCAAACAAAAGTGGAGTCAGGCCAGACACGGTGGCTCACACCTGTAATCCTAACACTCTGGGAAGCCGAGGTGGGTGGATCCTTTGAGCTCAGGAGTTCAAGACCATCCTGAACAAGAGTGAGACCCCATCTCTACTAAAAATAGAAAGAAATTATCTGGACAACTAAAAATAGAGAAAAAATTAGCCAGGCATGATGGTGCATGCCTGTAGTCCCAGCTACTTGGGAGGCTGAGTCAGGATTGCTTGAGTCCAGGAGTTTGAGGTTGCTGTGAGCTAGGCTGACGCCACGGCACTCTAGCCTGGGCAACAGACCGAGACTGTGTCTAAAAAAAAAAAAAATAAACCCAAAACAAAACAAAGTGGAGTCAAACCACCCTTTGGTGACAACAAATGAGTCCATCATATTTGAAGTGGGTCCTTCCTGTGGCACTAGAGTAGGTTCATGGGCTACTCTCTCAACATAGATACAAAAAGGTTATGAATGAGGTTAAGGTTGCTATAACTCACTGTAGGCAACCCTTGGACACAGTGGTAACACCAGCCAAGGCAGCCAAAGCTTTGTGTTGGGGCCCACAGCTTTGAGGGCCAAGTGGGAAGCTGTGTTCAGGCTGCAGGCCTAGGAGAGTGGGGCGGCTCCGAGTTAGTACAGGAACCTACACCAGCACTACAGAAAACCCCAAGGTAGCCCAGAGGTACCCAACAAACAGTACTACTATACCCTTACATAGCACCAAATTCATTTTCAGCACTCCATAGATACTTTTCCACCTAAAACGGGAAAAGAGGAGCCCATCTCACCTCACTTCACTTTTCTAGTCCCCTTACTGGTACTTAGAGCCTTGGAGTAGCTCACCTGACCCATCAGCTTGAAATAAGGCTAGAAACTCCAGGAAGTTTTCCTAAAGGGAAAAAACGGGGCTTTGAACAAGTCTTCCTCCCCGTCTAATAGACAACTATCTTTTTTCCATCCCCCAGAAAGCTAGAATGTACAAAATCTCCCAATTTGAAGCAAGATGATACAAGCCAGTTTACCTTTGACTACTTAGTCAACTTTTGAGTGTCCACTTTGTTAGATTCAAAGCAGGTCTAAAACCTAAGTAGGCCAGGTACAGTGGCTCATGCCTGTAATCCTAGCACTTAGGGAGGATGAGGTGGGAGATCACTTGAGACCAGGAATTCAAGACCAGCCTGGAAGTATTAAAGTTCTTTTAGAATTTGTCTAGCAGGCTTTCCAATCCTCACTGGAAGACCCATAAAAAAATAAAAGACCAGCCTGGGCAATATAGCAAGACCCCACCTCTAAAAATAAAATTTAGCCAGGTGTGTTGGTACCTGCCTGTTGTCCCAGCTACTCAGGAGGCTGAGGCAGGAGAATCACATGAGCGTAGGAGTTCGAGGTTGCAGTGAGCTATGATCACACCACTGCACTCTAGCCTGGGTGACAAAGTGAGACCCTGTCTCAAAAACAAAACAATAACAAAAAACCCTAAGTAAATCAGGCCAACCACAAAAACAATGGAAGTATCTCCCTGACCATGAGCCAGCTGGGCAGGCATTTATTTTTGCTCACTTTCTGCCCGTATCCCTGGAGGATCTATAAGCACTGCTCTTTTTTGAGGCAGGGTCTATGTTGCCCAGGCTGTACATGAAATTGCTCTCTTTTGAACTCATTTTTTCTTTTTTCTTTGAGACAGAGTCTTACTGTGTCACCCTGGGTAGAGTGCAGAGGCGTCATCACAGCTTGCCGCAACCTCGAACACCTGGGCTCAAGTGATTCTCCTGCCAGATTTTGGGAATTCTCCAGATTCCCAAGTAGCTGGGACTACAGATATGCTACACCACACCTGGCTAATTTTTTCTATTTTTGGTAGAGATGGGGTCTCACTCTTGCTCAGGTTGGTCTGGAACTCCTGAGCTCAAGTGATCTTCCCTTCTCAGCCTCCCAGACTGCTAGAATTACAGGCATGAGCCCCTGTGCCTGGCCAAACCCCACTTCTTGATGGCTAGTTCTTTTTTTTTGAGACAGAGTCTCGCTTTGTTGCCTAGGCTAGAGTGAGTTCCGTGGCATCAGCCTAGCTCACAGCAACCTCAAACTCCTGGGCTCAAGCAATCCTCCTGCCTCAGCCTCCCAAGTAGCTGGGACTACAGGCATGTGCCACCATGCCCGGCTAATTTTTTTCTATATATATTAGTTGGCCAATTAATTTCTTTCTATTATAGTAGAGACTGGGGTCTCGCTCTTGTTCAGGCTAGTTTCGAACTCCTGACCTTGAGCAATCTGCCCGCCTCGCCTCCCAGAGAGCTAGGATTACAGGCGTGAGCCACCGCGCCCGGCTGATGGCTAGTTCTTTTTTGCCCTTTACCTTATCTCCCCATTTCATTTTCTTCAGGACATGAATGGCAGCAGAACTCCAAATTCTTAGCCTCCCCCTCCAAACTCACAAGGATTATTTGCCCACATATATCCATTTCTGGGCACGTCTGATGGTCTATCTCTGTATCATTTGAATCTCCAGATCTTTATATAATGATTCTTCTTTGATGTTCCCCTTAAATCAGTATTTCATGACTTGTGGAGACCTTTAAAAATATCACCAATGGTTAATCTGATCTTTAATAAGCACCCACAGAGTGTGTATAATTACTTCTTTATATTCTTATATGGTTGTTCATAGGTTGTTGAAGGCACACACTTCCTATTCCCTAGGCGTAAAGATTTAGCTCTTTTGTGAAAAATATTCAAAGATTACTTTCTCTAAAAGATCACCAAGCCAAATATTTGGCCATATTTTTATTTACTACATATACTATAAACATATACAATACATGCTACAAAAAAAACATTTTTTTTTAAATTTAACTGTCAAGAAAATGTATAGTGTTATAATACAATGGCACATGTTCATATTTTATTTCAAATTGGTTTGCTTATCACCCATTTCAAACCATTAATAGTGAAATGTTACTTGTGGATAATTAAAAATTATCTATTTGCATTATTAACAATAAACAATTCCAACAAATTAATAAAAATTAACCATGTCAAATATTAGTATCCAAAAAAATGGGCTTTTGCAGAAATGATTATATAAAATATAGCAGCCAATTTCAGTTTACTTTGCTTTGTGACAATGTACATATGCACTCGAATAGGAGTCTAGCATTTGCTTTTTTCTGGAAGATACTTATAAGAAGTCCTTTGATTTCTTGAGGTCCAATAACTGCCACACCCAGCCAAATCCAACTCAACAGTACATGTAATGTCTCTGGACAACTGATCATTGAGAAATTCTTATGATTTGGGTAGAGTTGCATGTTCCACTAACATGGTGCAAAGAGAGACATCACAAGCCAATATCAAAGTCAAAGGCAAAAGAAAATACAAACATTCAAATCAGTTGTGACAAAGTTTTTCTACAAATACTTTAGATGCCATACTTTCAGGAAAACAAGATTTAATGTGTATTTGGATTTTACAGTATCTATACTCTAACTGAAAGTTTAACAAAGTAGTCAGATGGAATTCAGTCTAGTACTGCAAATCTGTTCATTCAAAAATAATGAGCACCCACTATGTGCATAGCACTGTGCTAATATTTTGAAACTTGAGTATTAATGTCTTTATCAAGCATTACCTTAGTGTGAGGTAAAAATATATTAAATTAGCGTCAACTCATTAGTTTGCTTGTGGTAATGTATGTAATCCATGCCAGCTGGCTTCCCTGTGCCATGTAACAAACTTCTTCACTCCTCTCATTTGCTCACACATACATCTGCACATCAACTGTGGCAATGTGCTAGTCACTGGGATACCATGATTTGGTATGTGTTCAAAGAATGCAAACTTATCATATTAACCTATACAGGACAATTAGAAAGGTACATTATTTTTCTACAATGAGGTCCAAAGCAAAGTATAAGGTGTTTCTATTGGTCATACCACACCAGACCAATAAGTGCCTTTATAGACTGGGAACTAACTTTCAAAGTTTCATGTTGTAGTCTAAATAGCCTAGATCATTTTTGGTCTCATAGGTCTATTCTTTGGAGCACCTGACCCCATATAAATCATTCCATACTTAAAAGGGCTTGTAAACTAAACCTGAACATAAACAAAAAGAACCAAAACTGAAGGTAGTTTATAATGTAATGTACTTCAAGCACTATTCTGCCCCTGTGAAATTAATACATAAGTAATTCATGATTGGTTCAAATATTTTTCAAAGCTCTAACCCTACCCTCAAACTCATGTAATTCTAACTTGACTTTTACACAAGTTGCATGTAATGCAGAGGGCAGAATTTGGCCCCAAAACCTTCCAAGGAATAATGTAAGTGATTGGTCCTTCCACTCCAAGTAGAATCTAAGGATTCCAAGATTCTCCTATTAGGATACTGACACTTAGGAGAAATGGTCCTACTGGATCCCATTAACCAGGAGTCTATTAGTAGTAGCAGGGTAACCCACTAGGATCCCTTGGAGGAAGGCAGAGAACTGGGGGTTTGGCTGTCCACTTAGTGAATCCAATACTGGCTTAAAGCTATGCACTGAATAAAGTGCTCTGCACATCCTGCTTTTCATCTGGAATGAAAATATATACTTATCTTAGAAATTAACCTATTTGTAGGTTTGGGGAAAAAGAATGACAAGGGTTGAAAGAATCCCAAGAAAAAGTATGAAGCATTGACTAGGAAGGAAGACAAATGCCTCTAGTAGTGTTCTCAGAATTCTCAGGATTGGAAATATCAGAATGACTCATACGACAGTCATGTTCCATAAATGAGAAAGCAATCTCACTGGGTACTATTCACACGGTGCATGATTACTTCATGGGGGTGGAAGGGAACAGTCTATTGCCATTTGATAGTATAGTTTCAGAATGAAAATAAAACCACTGAATAAATCAGGGTAAGCAGTGTGTACACTCCTCTCCTGGCTGTCAGTTTTCCACAGGTTGATTTGCATTGCCTGAGAGAAAAGAGGCAAGACACCTATTGCTTCTGATACACACAGGCATGGCCACCATCACCTAAAATTGCCAATTCAGAAGTTAACACACAAGCCCTCCAGTTTCGTACCCTGAATATGGTAAATAAGACTAGGAATGGAGTAGTTCAGTCTAAAAAAGATCACAGGTAACAGAATGCTTATATAAACTAGACTGCTTTTGACATCTGTAAGAAAACTGTATAGATGGCAGTTGGAAAAAAAAGATTGTTCCCATCTGTCAGCAAAACTGTTGAGCTATACTCAGCTGAAGTCCTCATCGGGATTCTGTTGATCCAGCAGACGGACATGTGTGAATGGGAAGTGACCTCGTTTGCCATTACACTCCCCTTCCCACTGACCACTCACATTAATCTTCGTAACCTTTACCAGCTCACCGACCTGCAGGAGGAGAATAAGGAGAGCACTTTATTTCCAGTTAAGAATGCAAGCCAGAAAACTCCATCCTCTGGTTATGCATACCCTGCCCACGTGATTGCTCTAGGGCTGATGTTAATAGAAATGGCTAATTGCTGCCTCCCCAGCCCCAGCCACCAAAACGATTACTTGTGGTTAATGCAGGCAGAAGAAGTGTTTATAGCAGTGCAGAAAAATATAGAGAATATAGAAAGTAGCAGGGATCCTAGAAAATGATACTTTCAGGAAAAAAATGGTAATTTTTGGAAATCTCAAGCGTCTCTGGCTGAGCAATCCCAACTTAAGTGAGCTAGTATTCCCCTTCTTTGTACTCACTACCCTCAACTTCCCACCTGCTCCACAGACCCTGGCCTAGGGGAAGAGGCCCTCGCCCCACTTGGCATTGGCAGGACAATCCCCTAGCCCAGTCTCATACACACATCCTGTCCTACTGCTGCTTACACAGCAGAAGGCAATCATGGCAAGCACACTTCACTTGGTCCCAGAAAACTAAGTGTTCCTATTACCTCCTGACTAAGGCAAGCTTTTTATCACTTTTTATCGGCAGGGATAGGCCAAAATTCCAAATCCCACCAGCTCCCTTCAAAGCCCCCACCTTCTTCAGCAAGCTCTACTTGGCAGGCCACTGCCTGCCAGCCCTTCAATCCCAGTCTATTGACAGAACTTACTGCTCCCTCAATGCCACTTGGCACCTGATCATTACTCAATGAAGGGACCAAAAAAAATAATAATAATATTAATCAACTATCATATTTTTGCTTCTATTTATAAAAAAAAATTTATTAAAAAAATTATTTTTAAATAAAGAAATCTCATTTTATGATTTTAAATTTATAATAAAATAAATTAAAATAAATAAACTTTTTATTTATAAAAAATATTTTTTTAATAAAAAAATCTCATTACAACATCAAAAGTTTTAACAATCTAGGATATAACTATCCTGTTATGAAACTTAATACAAAGTAGGTCTGATGAACGGATTCACCCTGTGGCAAAATACTGATGTCCCTGAAGAACTCTATAACAACACTGGAGTTCTCAGCATACTCTGTTCCTTTGTTTTTTGTTGTGTGTGTGTGTGCGTGTTTTTAAGACAGAGTCTCATTCTGTAGCCCCGCGTAGAGCACAGTGGCATCTTAACAGGTCACTGCAACCTCCAACTCCTGGGCTCAAGCGAACCTTCTGCCTCAGCCTCCTGAGTAGCTACATGTGCACAAGACACCTGGTTAATTTTTCTGTTTTTAGTAGAGGCAAGTCTCTCGCTCTTGCTCAAGCTGGTCTCAAACTCCTGAGTTTAAGCAATCCTCCTGCCTCAATCTCCCAGAGTGCTGGGACTGCAGGAGTGAGCCACTGTGTCCAGCCTTGTTCATTTGGTTTTATTAAATTAATAACTACCATTTATCCAGCTATTATATAGTACAGTAGAAGACATTTTATATAAATTATTTCCCAATCCTCATGGTAACCCTGCCAGACAGAACTGTTTTCATTTTATTGGTGAGAAAACAGAGGTTCAGAGAAATTACAAGATATACCTGAGGTCAAATGGCTAATGGCAGGGTTGAGATTTGAATCCAGAACTATTTGGCCCATTTATGTTTTTTCTACTATACGAGGAACTTCCAAATTATGCTCTTAGGACCATAGGAGTTCCCTAGGAGTGTCTCTAGGCCAACTCTGACCAAAGCTAACTCAAGTCCAGGCCCAGAGCCTCCTCTTGATCTAGCTAACAGACAAAACAAGTCGCCTATTAGCCTATTTCCTAAAGAACTATCTGAAAACCAGAGGCCTAAAGTGGTTGTGTGGGTCATAGGATGCTAAGAAAAGGAGGTCAGAAACAAGAGAATAATAGAGAGACAAGAGATAAAATACAGAGGATGAGAAAAAGCAGCATCTCCATCTGCCAAGATTATGCATATGGCTACAGGAGAAAGGGAGGAGAGCAAAGGATGCTATGGTATGCCTGTCCTTGCAAACAGATCCATCCCCTACAGGCTGGTAGCACCAGGGTTCCGTTCATTCCCAGCAATTTTCCAGTTCAAAGTTCCTGATATTCAAGAAGATCAACTATGACAAGCAAAGACTTTTGTTCTCCTGGCGGGGCGCGGTGGCTCACGCCTATAATCCTAGCACTCTGGGAGGCCGAGATGGGCGGATTGCTCGAGGTCAGAAGATCGAAACCAGCCTGAGCAAGAGTGAGACCCCGTCTGTACTATAAATAGAAAGAAATTAATTGGCCAACTAATATATATAGAAAAAATTAGCTGGGCATGGTGGCGCATGCCTGTAGTCCCAGCTACTCGGGAGGCCTAGGCAGGAGGATTGCTTGAGCCCAGGAGTTTGAGGTTGCTGTAAGCTAGGCTAACGCCACGGCACTCACTCTAGCCTGGGCAACAGAGTGAAAAAAAAAAAAAAGATTTTCATACAGTTTTTGAGGAGAGGAAGACTACACATCAAAGTGAAGTTTCACTTGCTTGTAAGATTTATTCCTTTATCCCTAACTCTAGTTCTCAGACTTTATTTCACTTGTTCCCTTCTTTTTTTATTTTTTTAGCTTCTAACTCCTGGGCTCAAGCAATTCCTCTGCCTCAGCCTCCTAAGTAGCTAGGACTACAGATGTGCACCACCATGCCCACCTGACTTTTAAATTTTTTGTAGAAATGGAGATTTCACTATATTGCCCAGGCTGTTCTCTACTCCTGAGCTCAAGCAATCCTCCCGCCCTGGCCTCCCAAAGTGCTAGGATTACAGGTGTGAACCACTGTGCTTGGCCTATTCCTTTCTTTTTAAAAATCCTGCAGTGTTGCAAGAAGCTAGGCTTAATACTAGCCCCTGTAACATACGAATATTCCTTAGTGAATATTCCTTTATAACCCAACTACCCTTGACCACTCATCCTTTACACATATACACATGTGCACAGACGCACACGTTACTAATATCTCTGTGCTGCTAGTCACTTGCTATGTTAAAGTCAATTATATCAAGTGCAGCACTTCTTTAAGTATTTATTTGTAGTGTCTGTTAAGCACTCATGGCATATAAAGTGCTATTCTGATGGCCAGACCCAGAATAATACAAGTCTCTGGCTTTGAGAAAGAAAAACATGTTTGAGGGGATATGTATGCTCATATCAAAATTTTAAATTGCCACTCAGGTTAGGCTTCCCTCTAGATGGGGACTAAAGGGTGTCAGTTTCTTTCAAGGAGTTGGTCTGATGACATCAGGCTTATCTTCCCTGCTAACACTCCTTAATATCTACTGTATCTGAATCCATTATTTTACTGATATTAAAAACACGTAAGAAAAAAAAAAACACATAAGAGGCCGGGCCTGGTGGCTCATGCCTGTAATCCTAGCACTCTGGGAGGCCCAGGTGGGAGGATCACTCAAGGTCAGGAGTTTAAGACCAGCCTAAGAAAGAGCGAGAGACTGTCTCTACTGCTGGTTATCACAGATAAGAAGAAAGAGAGCAAAACCTGCTGATTTGCCCCCAGACCTTTTCTTTCTAACTTCTAAGGAACAAATGGGCAGAAAAGGCAAGATATTACAGGGGGAAGAACTTATGTGTAAATTAGACTGTTGGACATCATCAGATTCTTTTGGTTCTACTCTACAGAGGAACACTCATGAGAATCATATCATATTCTAAAATCTAAAACCTTTTTTTTTTTACCACATATACTCACCAGCAAATTGGTATTAACTGAACAGCACCTACGTGGTCACATAGGTACTACAGTAATAGGGTATTGGGCAGGTGGGAGGGGGAGGGGTGGGTATATACATATATAATGAGTGAGATGGGCGACCATCTGGGAGATGTCATGCTGGAGACTAAGACTCTGTGGAGGGGGGGAATGGGCATATATTGAAACCTTAAAATATGTACCCCCATAATATGCTGAAATAAAAAAAAAGTCACAAAAAAGAAAAATAAAATAAAATAAAACCTTTTTTTTATGCTGGGTATGGGCATGTGCTTGTGGTCCTAGCTACTTGGTAGGCTGAGGTGGAAGAACTGTGTGAGCCCAGGAATTTGAGGCCAGCCTGGGCAACATCACAAGACCTGTTGGAAAATATAATGAAT